AGAAATTTTGAATGAAAGTAAGTGAAACGATCAGGAATCAGACGCGTATCAGTAAGAAGAACGATATAATATATTTCCTGGAAGGAAATACAGTATACCAAAATGCTGTATCTCAGGAGAGTTACCACGATTAATTTCCGTGCTGAATTTATACTCGAGGATCATTGAAAAATAAATGTTGCAGGGGCTTATCTCGTGGGAAACTTTGTGTGCCACCTTTCTCATAAATATGTGTGTTTCGCGGTTATTTGGGAACTACAATAAGACTTCAATACTGTACTCACTTGGTCTCTAAATCGAAACGCGAAAAACACAAAAGAAATAAAATCAAGAGAAGAAAGCACGATTACCGGTGGCTGCGTCCACATCGATTCCAACGACGTTCTTCATCGTACAATGTATAGGCAATACGATGTCAGTGTGATACGGCAATCCACGGGGAATCAGCCGTATATCAGTCCTGTTAGCAACGATTAAGGTATCCCTTTGTTGCCAATCCTGACAAGTAAATCCGTCCGGGCCAAGGCTCCAACCCGTGGGACAGCCGCATTTCGGGCGCAATTGCCTCCCGTCGCCTTGCTTTGAATTTCCAGAGGATGCTAATAGACACAGATGGGAGCATTTCGTTTTGCCAACTGGAATAAAGAGAGTAAATTGTGATACCATCCGTTAATTGTGGCCAAGGCATTGAGATTCTTGACAGAAGAAGAGAAAGATTTGCGAAAATAGCAGGATAATGCAAATTATAAATTTGATCCAAATTTTCGGATGCTCCAAAATGTATAGCAGTGCTGTTTCAGAGTAAATTACCACTTTGTATAGCACATTATTACCAAAAAGTTTTTCTTGGCGGAAGAAGGAACTCTATTCGTCGTCGAAAACTGACGCTATCGCCATCAGAATTCAAATTTCGGAATGAACACAAAAACAAACGAAGAACAGAAACCAGCTCCTTCATTCGTACAAAGCAGATAATCGGAAGATAAGTATGCCTTGAACTTAATTCATAACTAACAATTTTAGAGATGATTCGCAAACTTGGGAGAGGGAATGAATCACGAATGTCATCAGAATGTGTCGCATGCTTTAGAAAAGATACAGTATTGCTCTTCAAAGCAAGGAGGGGTTTCTTATTCCGCAAAAAAAATCCGACATTGTCATGATTTAAATTCATGCAAATAACTCACCTCGACATGGATTCGTTATCGTAGTTCTCTTTTCATTCCCACTGACACTGAATCCTCTCAGCGCCACCCCAACATCTCCATTCGCAGCAGTGAAATCCATCACCTCCGCCTTGTCGAATCGCCCAGCGGTCAAGTCCTTCAAATCCGCACTTCTCAACAGCCCGTCATTCGCGTCACTCCAATACATTCTCCCATTCAGCAATTCAACAGCAAATGGTCTCCTCGACGGTTCATTGCCCATTATGACTCTACGTTCACTTCCGTCTAAAAATGCAGCCTCGACAGTGTTGGAGTCTCGGTCTACCCAGAATACGCTACGTTTGTTACGCCACTTCATGACTGTCAAACTCCAGGCATTTTTGGCTCGCTTGATGATCACTGTTCGCTGTGAGCCATCCATAACTGCGGTCTCGATAACTTGTTGTCCGGGATCACTCCAGATTATCAATCCGTCCAAGGGAGATAAAGTTAAACTACCAGGAGACGAAAGATTTTCCCAGATTACCAGACCGCGATTCCCGCCATCCAGCTCGCAGACTTCGATGAATTTCCTTTCGGCGTCGATCCAGTAAATTTTCTCCGTAAACCAATCAAAACTCACGCCCGTTACGAGACCTGAAACCGAAAATTGAAACTAGAATCACTTCGTTTCTGCACAAATAAATTCACTCAGTCATCAGAAGTTTTTAAATAAAATTAATTAAAGCCGCTAACAATAAAGTGTTCATAAGTCGAAGTCGTTCATTCATTCGCGCGGTTTCACGAAGTTTACTAGCTAAAATCATAAATTACTATCAAAAGTTCAGATAAAAACCAAATTTACGATCAAAAGTTCAGATAAAAACCAAATTTACAATCAAAAGTTCGTCCCTTCTCAAAATTACGATAATGTAAATATATTACCTGAAGGAGGTACGTTGCTTACCCAAATTATCCTGAACAATATCTTTGGTTTCAGTTCCATTCCGCATGATGATACTGATCTTCTTGGAAATGGAATCCGACCAAACGATTGAATCCCCAGCAGGATAATAATCCAAGGCTATAGTTTTATTAACACCTCTTGCCGGCAACGCGTAGCTCAACTCTCCGGACGAGAGGGGCAACAAGTAAATCGCTTTTTCTGCGCTCACAAGTAAGAAATTGTCCGATATTTTCTCACAGGTTTTCCTGGNCCCAAGTCGCGATACACGAGCAACTGGCATTTGCCGGTTTTAGGATCAGCTTTCCCGATGTGTCTAAACGCGGCATCAGTCCAGTAAATTTCACCTGAAATGCACAAAAAATGTAGAAAATTGCATTCCTAGAACTTCGCTATTGCAACAATAGTACTCGTATTTTCGGTCATAAATACGGTGTAGCTAAAAGAACTAAAGAAGACAAATAATTTTCCGAAAATATCAGCGTGAAGTTTAAAAAAATTATGGATTACGAACGGAATACGTGTTGAATGTTTTCGAGGCGGATGGACCTGTTTAGGGAACCTTCGAGGCTAATTCGCAGAAATTTTGAATGAAAGTAAGTGAAACGATCAGGAATCAGACGCGTATCAGTAAGAAGAACGATATAATATATTTCCTGGAAGGAAATACAGTATACCAAAATGCTGTATCTCAGGAGAGTTACCACGATTAATTTCCGTGCTGAATTTATACTCGAGGATCATTGAAAAATAAATGTTGCAGGGGCTTATCTCGTGGGAAACTTTGTGTGCCACCTTTCTCATAAATATGTGTGTTTCGCGGTTATTTGGGAACTACAATAAGACTTCAATACTGTACTCACTTGGTCTCTAAATCGAAACGCGAAAAACACAAAAGAAATAAAATCAAGAGAAGAAAGCACGATTACCGGTGGCTGCGTCCACATCGATTCCAACGACGTTCTTCATCGTACAATGTATAGGCAATACGATGTCAGTGTGATACGGCAATCCACGGGGAATCAGCCGTATATCAGTCCTGTTAGCAACGATTAAGGTATCCCTTTGTTGCCAATCCTGACAAGTAAATCCGTCCGGGCCAAGGCTCCAACCCGTGGGACAGCCGCATTTTGGGCGCAATTGCCTCCCGTCGCCTTGCTTTGAATTTCCAGAGGATGCTAATAGACACAGATGGGAGCATTTCGTTTTGCCAACTGGAATAAAGAGAGTAAATTGTGATACCATCCGTTAATTGTGGCCAAGGCATTGAGATTCTTGACAGAAGAAGAGATTATTACCAAAAAGTTTTTCTTGGCGGAAGAAGGAACTCTATTCGTCGTCGAAAACTGACGCTATCGCCATCAGAATTCAAATTTCGGAATGAACACAAAAACAAACGAAGAACAGAAACCAGCTTCTTCATTCGTACAAAGCAGATAATCGAAAGATAAGTATGCCTTGAACTTAATTCATAACTAACAATTTTAGAGATGATTCGCAAACTTGGGAGAGAGAATGAATCACGAATGTCATCAGAATGTGTCGCATGCTTTAGAAAAGATACAGTATTGCTCTTCAAAGCAAGGAGGGGTTTCTCATTCCGCAAAAAAAATCCGACATTGTCATGATTTAAATTCATGCAAATAACTCACCTCGACATGGATTCGTTATCGTAGTTCTCTTTTCATTCCCACTGACACTGAATCCTCTCAGCGCCACCCCAA